GCGCCGTGAGGCGTTCCTTCCCGGTACATGGGGGCGTGGGCGTTCCCGGGATCGTCTGGGAACCGCGGGCGTGCGCCCCAGGTCGGAGGGCGTCCGCGGGCAGAGGGCGTTGTCTGACCTCTTCACCTAGAGTGGGCTGGGCTTTGGAGAATTCGCCTGTCCCGTGGGGCGTGTGGGTTCAGAGCGTCTGGACGGAACTGGTTGGACTTGAGACTTTGAACTCTCCAGGGGAGGGGCAGTGAGTAGCAGGAAAATCGAACGTATTAATTACCCTGTGTGCTAAGCCTGGAGGACTATCATCAGGCCAGGTGGCGCTGGGCAGCCCAGCTTTCACGGAATGTATGGCATTCTTAATGTGTGCCAGACATTATTTCCAGCGTTATTCCTGGTGTTACGGAAATGACAGGCCAGCCAAGAAACAAGCACCACTCGGAGGGTTGGAGTACTCAGATTTATTACGCCGGCGGGCTCAGAGGGGCTTCTGCTCCAAAGCTCTGAGCACCTTCAAGACGTGTGCATGAGGTTTTATAGGGTTAACTACAAGCTTGGGGTATTTGGCCAGTAGGCATGGAACAGCTTTAGCAACATCATTATCACAAAAGTAGAGGCAGGGAGGCAGGAAACCAACATTTCAAGGCCAGATATGTCTCTTTGAAAATCCAGCTGGCTAACAACAACAACAACAACAAAAAAAACATGAACAGGGAATCAGCAAACCAACAATAATTAACTCAGATTTATAAGTTAGCCCAGCAGAACTCAGATCAGTAATCCGACACTTGTTACACTTAGATTTGTGAGTTAGCTTGTTAGCCCAGCTGGGCTTTTCCTTCACACTGGAGTAACTAGCAATCGAATGCCGGAGATCCTACCATTAGCCCTATTTATCCTCTTCCTGTGAGGAAACGGACACTGAGAGGTTACCTGTTGAAAGTCTCAAAGTCAGTGAGTAGAACCGGAATGGGAATTTAGGTATTCAGATGCCACCCCACAGGAAGCCTTTCCTGATCTCTCATATCCTGATTTGGATGCCTTGTTTGTGCTGAAGGGGAGCAGAGTTGGCCATTCCAAAATGTGCCACTTAGGCATATTACTTTGAATAAGGACACCCTGACCCTCTTGTTCCTCCTGAAAGCAGCATATAAATCTCCCAAGTAAAAGGTACCCTCCCTGTATCAGGAAGGTAGAGGGCATCCTTATCACCAGATATTGGAAATTTAAGGCAGAGAAGGCTAGATGAATAAACCTTGTTACTGCTTCGTCAGTTTACTACAGCAGGCCCAAACCCCTTCGCCTTGTCAATCGTCACAAATTTATTGCCTCTTTTTCTAAAAGGTATAAAACCTTCCTGCTTTGGTCATTTCATTGAGTCTCCTATTTTTATGGGGCTCCCACACGTAATTGGTTTTTCTCCTGTTAATCTGTCTGAGATCGATTTAATTATTAGACAAGTCAAACAACCTAAGAGGGAACATTTCTCCACCCCTACCATGCCGTGAAGAAGTTACCATACTGGGTAGGTTTCTGTTCAGCATGACTATAAGCTTAATTAGCTTTGCATGACCTACACTTGGCACATAGTTAACTAATGTATGTTGAATTTTGAATGCCTACTTATGTGCCATACACTCTGCTAGATGACTATTTTAGCTGCAGACAAATGCACTGTAGAAACACCTAGAGGAATTCATTTTTAATCATAGTAAAGACTTAGTAAACAGACCACCCCCCAGTCTAGAAGTTCCCAAGTTCAAATTGTCTACAGAAACCAAAGGCCCGGTTCTTTTCTCCCTTACAACTATCATGACCTGAGATGCATCTAAAAGTGAGGTCAGAAAAGGAGGGTAAATGGTGAATCTGTTCTCAGAAATAAAGGGCAGAAATCAAAATGTGATTCCATGGGGAACTCTAGAATGAAAACTGCAAATATCTTTTTTTTGATAACAGTTCTGTATTATCTTGTTACACTGTTATTTTATGTGTATTACTTTTTGTTTATCCCTACAGTGATTAGTAGCAGAATCCTTGAAATGAAAAGGGCCTTAATACTTGACATCAGGATGGCGAGGAAGCTGGGGAAGCTATGAACCAGGAAACGGTAAGGGTATGGGCAGCTACTGAGAGAGGAATAAGGGAGAGTAAGTCTCTGAGACCTTCAAACAGGAGGAAAGTGGAACTAAGTCCCATATGGATCCGATAAAGATGTTTGGGTTTAAGAAGTAGAAATCTCCAAGTGTGGTCTCCAGCCCCCCAAAACTAAACAAAAACCAAAACCAAAAAAAATACTTGTATAGTGGAGTGATTAAGAATTTAAGCACTAGAAACAAATTCCAGCTCTGCCAGTTTCTGGCTGTGAAAACTTGAGTTGTTCCACATTTAAGAGTGTACATCAAAAATGCAAATGAAGTAAACAGGGAAACAGGGAACCTAACTGTGCTGACATCAAGTTCAGCATAATTTCCCATTACCCTACATAACCTGTGGAGAACACCAGGAAGAGACTAGAGAAAAAGCACTTTCAAAGGCACCTCCCTAATTTTTGTCCACAATCTCTTATCTGAACCCTTGTAAATCAATTGTTTCACAATTCTTTGAACTTTGAAATTAGAAAAGAAAGTCATATGCTATATAAATATTATGTAGCCATTCCGCACTCTTCTGCATAAGTGTTAAATACACTAACGTTCTGCAGTGAAAACGTTTTTAAATTAAGTGGGATAAAGACTATTAATCTCAGATCAGGTTCAGTTTGCACTGAATTCAAGAAAATACCGGTTTTCTGAACTTTTCAGATTCTGGAATTGCAGATAGAATACAGGGTATTGGAACACTCAACCAGGCTTGACCATTCTACCATCTTAACTCTTCCTTGCCAGAAATTTTCCTACTCCTTCAGTTTGAGAATTCCTTCTCTCTTACGGAAATGCTGGTGTAACTTAAGAATGAAACAGGGTCTCCTGACTGATAACATACAGGTTTATTAAGAAGAAACCAACTGAGAAAACAAGAACAAAGGCAGAAAAAATATCAGGCTCTGAACATTGATAAGTGGTGGTCACACAGCCCATGCCTTTGTGGACACTAACCCAACAACATCTGTAAAAGGATGTTTGTCAACTTAATCAGCTTGCTTAATAAATTTCTCCTTGCAACCTTTGTTACTGCCTAGAAAACAGAAGGATGCAGAAGCCATCATAAAAGCAAGAGTGGGAAGTCAGGGTGCTTTCAGCATAGGAAGAAGCCATCAGCCCTATAGAGCAAAGGAACTTATATTTTGCTGCATTCTTGTAAAGGTGAACTTAAGTCATCAAAAAATAATGACACTGTAATAATTATGCTGTTTGAAACAGCAGTGTAAAATATCTATTAAGCATGGCTGTTCAAGTATTATTTAGTAATTATTTAGAACCTTTGTTACCAAAATGCATCATTATCATTCCAGACATTATATAATAAAAGAATTAACTATTTAAATTTAATACATTAGAGGCAGATCAACCTAATTATCAGAATAGTTAATGTTTATATGAGTATGTGTAGACTTCTTTACACACAGTAGATGCTTTGTACATGCTATATGTGCAGAATAACAAGGTGTTTTTATTAAAGCATGCAGACACAGTCCACATCAGCATGGACTCACATTTTCTACTCCTAGTCTTTATCTCAAATACCAGTTAGTGACATTGGGCTACTTTGGCGACTACCATCAAAATATTTTCAACTTAATGGTCCAAACACAAATGCCTCTAACCATAAATACATCTAAATAATGATACTCTAAGAATACTCTAAAATACACATTTCCTTTTGATACTTAGGTATCAGGGTAAAATGAAGATTCTCCCATACTCTTTAATGGTCTATAATGAAGACAAAATATTAAGTAAAATCTTAGCTTGACAGAAAGGTCAAGCTCGTAGAATAGATAAACAAGATTATACTGTATAGCACAGGGAAATATATACAAGATCTTATGGTAGCTCACAGAGAAAAAAATGTTGACAATGAATATATATGTTCATGTATAACTGAAAAATTGTGCTTTACACTGGAATTTGACACAACATTGTAAAATGATTATAAATCAATAAAAAATGTTTTAAAAAAAGACTAATCAAACTAAAAAAAAGGTCAAGCTATATATATATATATAAATAATTATTTTGCTAACTATTTTCAAGGTAATAGTATATTTAAAGAATAAACAAAACACTAGCTTCAAGGTCAAGCATATTTGGGTTTTTAAACCCTAGTCCTAATCAGTGACTTACACAATTTTCTGAACTTTTGTTTTCTAGTACAGAAGACAGAGACACTAATTTCTAGGGTTGTTTTCAACATTATAAAAAAATATAATGCCTAACAAATTTTAAATGTTCAACATATTTCGTACACCTTCAATATTTTTCTAGGAACGTTTTCAGTGTGGGAATACCTAAAGCAAAAATAAATAGTAATGCAAAGTCAGGATTCATGGCCAAACATAACTATTTATTATTATTTTTAAATAAACATTCAGCTTCTTCCTTTAAAAAAACCCTAAAATTTAAATATTTCCAATCCCATCACATACAAGTCTGTATACATTATTTACATCTCTCAGTTAAAACATATTACAGATTCTCTGATATTCAGTATCCTCCTTTAAAACAAAAATGACGAAGCAATTGAAGTTTGATCAATGACGACAACAATTTGAGTAATCTTGGCACAGTTTACAATATGGCGCCCACACTGCATTTCAGGTGTTAGACCATTTTTTTCCCTTCCAGCTACTTTACTAGAGGAACTGTCCATCTCCAGGAGAGCAGGGTCCTGTCCTTACTCATGTTCTACAATACTTGCAGTGTGAGTGCTGCCTCTTGCTTCCATTTCTGGCACTGGCAGTTTTGTCCTCAGAAATGATCCTATTCAAACTTTAAGTGGTCTCATGTTTATTGTACTCTCTCTCAACCTAGATTTCATGATGCTGTTGGTAGATTATTTTAAGTAGTAATGTATAGGAAAAGTTCAAATAAAATAAAAGTTTTCCTCACAAGATTAGTGCCATTACCAACCTACTTATGCATGTACAAAAATAAGAAATACAATTTAGTGGCTGTAAAAAACTATTTCCCCTAAAAATAGTTATCTCTGCAGAACAATTTAAGGAGAGAAGTGTTCTTAAAATGAAAATGTGTTAATCTATTTCACAACCTGCACAATTAAGTAAACAAAAAAAATGAAAACGTGCAAATCTGTAAGAAACACCCACACATATAAGAATTTAATAATATGTAACAGAAATTAAATATTAAAATTTTAAAATTATATCACTCATAATCTCAGCTTATGTGACAGAAAGCAAGCCATCAACCACAACCAAAAATGCTTATGTTAAGTTGTATCTTTCAACACTTCAGCTGCAAACTATGTACTGACAGCAATTACTTCAGAATCACTAACAATGAGGACCTACACAATCAACCTGTTTTGTTTTTCATGTCTGTGTGTGTGTTGCAGGGGTACGGGGTGGGGGCAGTGTAGAAGATGACAGGTAAACATACAGCTTGGAAAGGCCAGTGAGTTCGCTCTGAGAATTGTAATCCAAAGTTTTCTATTGTATAGTATTTTAATAGGAAAAGAAATTTGCATCACACTTGCAAAACTGAGAGTAGTCAGTATTTTAATGTTACTTTCTCTCTTTTGTCAAAGTTTAAGTTCCAGTTGAGCTACAAGTGGCAGACATGGAGCACAGTTTTATACTTTCAAAAATGAATTTTTCTCCATGATGAGCTCATTAGGAAAGCCTCAAAAATTCAAATTGTCTGCAGTCAGAACTGTTATATCTCAAAATTAAACTTTTCCATTAAATCTTGAAATAGCTTTACCTCTAAATAAGTATCTCATACACCATTAAACTGATAGCTTAATTCCTATGGTGATACTTAATATTATGACAAAACTCTGATACTTAAATTATTTTAGGAGTGGTCCTTCAAGTATAGATCTAGAATAGTGTTTCTAGGAATTGGTATATTCCTTAATATCCCAGGTAAGTTTCAAAATAGGTTTTCCTCTTGGTATGTAGTGACAAATATACTTCTTGTCCTGTATCTTTAAAAAGATGTTCAAAATGTTAGTTATAAATGACATATAAAATGATTATACAATTTGAAATATTATATCTGTGATACACACTTTAATTCAGCATAATTAATACACAAAATGTATTCCAATTTCTTTGTACAATGACCTCCACTCTTTAAATTGTTCGTTTGAGTGAAAGTAAGTTTAAAAAAAAGGGATGGAGGTAAGTTGTTTCCTTAAGCTACTCCTATCTTAAATATTGGGGTTTTTTTGGGTTTTTTTTACTATCCATTCAATCAAAACTACCCTACAGTAATCAAGGTATGATCCAAAAGTTATCAGAGAAAGGAACAAAAAACAGAAAATTTTAAAAAGACTTTGATTTTTTAAATTATATTTAACTGTAAAATAATTAAATTTTTAAAAATAAAATAAAACTTATACATCCAAATGATACTGTCTACTTCAAAGTAGTGACATCAGGAAACTACTCCTTTATTAAACGATGCTACAAATCAATGCTCAAAACATTTTCTTCTGCAAATTCAGAGCCCATGGCAGTCTTTTGAATGTCCGTAACAGTTTAGTTCTAAGAAAACAGCCAAGTAGAGTTGTTTTGGTGAGTGAGACAGGTCATATTAAGCTTCCAGTAAAGTTTTCGGTTCAACTAAAATGATAAAATAAACTTTCTTGCAAAGTCATAAACCGATTCTCAAGGGATTTCTGAAAGTGTTCCCAAAACACTTATACCTTTGCAGCATTGCTAGAAGTAGACCTGCCAAAGAAAACACTCTGAAGATCAACTCTCACCTGGATGTTTAAGATATGACACTTATTTTAAAAAGAAGTCCTACAACTTAAGAATTGTACCTCATATACTTCACCATTTCAGTGGTTATCAAAACCTCTCTCAGAGAGGGTGTAGACAAAGGTATAAAAGAAATCTGTCATTTTGCTATTTTCCATAAGCAAGAAAAATGCTAATACAGAAAATGGAGTGTGATGATTACATGTAAAATACAGATATCTACATTATCTGTAATTCCTGAATATAAGAGATGCAGTGCTTTCTCCTTCCTGATTAGCCAGGCAGTAACTTACACTGAGACACATTTATTAGACACCAAACATGCCTTCTCCTACCTAATTTTATGCTGACCATTTAGCATTTACAAACGACAAACAATGGTACAAAGAGATAAAAATCTAAAATTTTTCTATTTAAGGTAAACTGACCTCCAAATTCTCTACCAGCTGACGACCATATCCTTACTGTTTTAGTGCAGCCTAATGCCATGGTTTTTGTGGAAAACAGAATTAAGCCAGCAAATGAAAACCAGTAGCACCACCTACAGCTAATGAAAAGATTTTCACTCTTTCCTGTTAATTTCTCTCCACCACCATTACTCTACCATTTAAAAGAATTCCTAAGTTTCTCCATATCAACATTTAAACAAAGCATTGTGACAATTATACTGTGTTAACTTACTACTTTATATTTTATGCTTTCATTAGCAGATGAGAAAACAACTTCTGCTTCATATCTCTGTATGAAGAGTAGGGGGTGGGGCAGAGCATTATCCCAGTTATTTATAAATTACATAAAGAGATCTGGAAAGAATCCAAGAGGTGTTTACAAGCAAACTCTATTGTAAAACCAAGATTTGATCCTTATTTTATAAAGGGGATCTTACTAATGATCATGGAAACCAAATGAATCAAGGCAACTTTTTTTTTTTTAAATCAGTTATTTCTCACATGCTGTGGTGTTTCCTTACTTGCACCCACATAACACCATGTACAATGCCAGGCCTCTCCCTGGGAGAATGTCTCTACTTTGTTACTGTATATACACATACATATCTCCTTACTTCCCAATACCTCTGTTTAAAGGAATACTCAGAAGCAGGCACCTGAGATTCTGGCACAGTGACAAGAAACTCATCTACATAGAGTGGAAAAGTAGGTCCTACTACTAAACATTAATTTATAATAACAATTGTGTACAGTGTACTACTGTATAAGGCTTAAATGAGCAAAAACAATTTCTCACTTTTCTCTCCACACTTGGCTATTGCAACCCCTTGATTACTAGGTTGATATGAGGTTAGATGCAGTATGGAAGACTACTTGAATAATCATGTGGTTCATTTTCCTAGTTAGATAGGACCAAAGAATCACTAGATACCAAATTTTATTTGTGAATCAAACCACAGTGGCTGATATTACATATATGCATACTAAAAGATTTGTTTTAAGGAAATCAGCTAGTTCTCACTGAAGTTTATTAAGTATTGCCAGTGAATGTCCAGTATTATTTGTTTCTGCCAGGCTTTCCTGTTACTTCTACTGTTGGTACTTGGAGAATGATTGCTAGAAATGAAATGGAGAAAAAGGCAGTTCCTAATGATCATAATTGTAATGGCATTAAACTGTATCACTGCTCTACATGTTAATGGTAAAAACAAACTGATTTCATCTTAGATTCTTTTCTACTGTTTTTAGTCTATACAATTTCAGAGCAAGATTTCTATTCTACAAGGAGAAAAGTATATATTTCTAACTGAAGGAAGAGGATATATTTCTAAGTGAAGAAAACAGATTTACTAGCAATGACAAAATTAAAACTGGAAGTCTAAAAAGGACATTTCTCAAGAGTAACACCAAAGTGAAAAACATTAATATTTATTTTAAAAACTAAGTTTCTGAACTTTTTACTTACAGGAATAGTTCACTAGAGAGTCATGGCAAAAAAAAATGTAAAAGTTAATAACTACTAATTTAGCACTTTGTTTGATATCACTGCACAGAAAAAGATTTCCTTTCACAGTGGAAAAATCAGAAGTCAGAATACTTCAAATTGGGCCTAAAATAAGCAAAGAAGGTACTGTATCATTTTAAAATGACAGGCAAACACCAGCTCCATTCACTGAATGGAAATGCTGGAAAGTGATCAATTTCCCTAAACAGTCCTTAAATTCCATGTTTATATCTATACCTAAAATTAATAATTTATTTTTAACTTCTCATGGAAGTCGATTCCTAAAAGGAAGTCTCTAAGACTTTGTTTACAAGGTACTGATTAAAATCTTCATGCCATTCTACTCAAGGGTTCTGAGACAGGGCTTTCTTGAATTTGACTCCTCATATTTAATCCCATCCATAATGTCCCATACAAACTAACCCCCACCTCCCCCCAACCAAACACACACTCCTATCCCCTCCTCTTCAAAGTAGAAGGGGATTCTGCAGACTTATGGCTCATTTGGCAATTGCTAAGAAACCTCACAGTTCAGCATCACCTCTGAAGATGGCAAACCTCTATATAACCTGAATTTTCACACCTACAGTGCAGTTAACATGTAGAAAGAAGCCAAAATGTAATGGGTATTACATTTCAACATCTTCAAGTTTCAATATCACAGATATCAAGAGATGGAAAAGACCTGCTTGTAGAACTTTAAGCATCTGTTGAACAGAATTACCGTAATATCAAAAATAATTAAGAAATACTAATTTTTTATGCTCTACATGCACACCTTTACAAATTGTGTTTCTTTAATGTAGTAAAAGCTGGAGATCACCAATTTAGGTAAATTATGGCTTTTATCAATAGATATTTTAAAACATGCATCAGTAAGTGCCCTGGGTAGTAATCCTAATATTGTTTCAAGCCCTGTTCAGTTCTGTGTCTGTGCTTTGCACCTCAGAAGTGAGCCTGCCAAGGCACTTAAAAACATAAGTCTTTTGGGGATTTCAAAAATCTGCCACAATTTGCACAATGGAGAACCCCCATCCATCAGCAGTCCAATCAATAAGCATTTTCTTTCAACATACAATATTATCAAAAGTTCCCCCAAGTTAAAAAAAAATACTGTATGCCACTAAGACAAAATTTATCCCTATCAAATGTATGTTCTTGGCTTCCTCTAGCAATAGAATATGGTTTCATTTATTCAGAATAAAGAAAAAGGAGCCCAAACAAATCCCCCAAACCTAACACAAAAACAACCAAGATAAAAATAAAATACAATAAAATCCAAATACACTCCACACAGCTTCATTTGAGGAACAATTTGCCAGCTCTGCATCCTTTTATCTGTCCTTTGAGGTGAGTTTTTCAATCAGTTCTTGGAGTGGTGCAAGTTCTCTTCTATCAATAAGGTTGAATTCCTATGCATGACAGAGGCAGAAGAAACAGGAAAAACGCATTACTTACATCTTACTCCAAAACAGATTTCCATTAACATTTGTCAGATGTTTTTTCAAAAGAATTTTTTTTCTATTCCCTAGCTCTGTGTCAGGCAAATCAATTAACCACTTCTGATATGTTTTATATCTGTAAAAATTTTAGGGTAAATCCTCCCACCTAATAAGATTATTGTACGAACTAAATGTGATACTGTGTGTTAACCACTTCATGTAATCCCTCACACAAAGTAAACACTCAATAAATGAGAGTTGCTGCTTCCTGTTAAAAGGAATAACTTAGGCACCATTTGTCAAAGAAACAGGGTCTAAAAAATCTAGCATCTCAGGCAACTTTCAGTACTATATGAAGAGTAAATAAGTTAGTTTATGTCCTAAACGAACATACATGCAAGCTACCATAATATGTGGTATGAGAATAGCATGAATAATACGGAGTCCACAAATGATAAATAAAATCCTATAAAGAACAAATAAGAAAGCCTGTGTTTATGTACGTCTTTAGAAGTTCCACTACAGTCATTCTGAAATTCTATTCTGAATAGATTTCCCCTGAACAATAAATTATAAGGCTAACGAATAGAGGCTATCAAACCTCTGATCTTTTGATATTCTGCCATGGTGGGGCTTTCTGAGTTCCCAGTTATATTCATTTATTAGCATCCACCATGTGCCAAGCATTACAGTAAGTACTGGAGAGAAGCATTAAAAGGTACTTAATAGCAAGCCTACTCCTAAAATTTGTGGGGTCTGGACCAAGAACACAAATGGATATATATCACATGACTAAGTTATTTTATTTTACATTAAACTAATATATTAATATATTGTTAATATATATTTGATTCTCCTGCATTGACATATGTATACCTTCACAGTGGCCAGGAAACAGATTCAAATTTTGAATTCTTAAGATAGTTCAGGATTCTGTACTGGAAAGCAGTGACATAAAGAGCCAGTCCCTGGTCCTCAGCAAACCTCCCCGATCTACCTAACCCCAGTTCCTCCTGCACTTCAAAGGGCCTCACATGCCCTTTGTGTGGACATCCTGGCGGGCTTATAAAGACAATGTCCATGCAACTTACAACCAACTGCCATCTGGGTATTCCTAAGGTCTAGAGGTATGGATATGCATCAGAGATAGGACCTTCCCTCGAAAGAGAGAACCAAAGGAAAAGATCCATATAGACCCTAGAAATACACTTGGGACCATGTGGGCAGGGAATTCTGAATCTCAGAATGCCACATGTTAATCTCGTTCTATTTGCTAGGAGTTATCATACAGTAAGGTAAAACTAAAACTGTCTGGTGGGAGAATATCCTCTCCCAAACCACTAAAACCTCAAGCAGTTATGTTCTGCCTAAACCAAAGCATGGATGCAAACTTTAGGATAACATTTTCTTTGTTTCTATGGGTGTCTGTAGAAGCGATACGACAGTAAAGTAACTGCTCAGAGCAACAGTTTTGGCAAGTTATGATCTCCTAAAATTTGTTTGTATAGGTGAAATTAAAATATGAAATGTGTGCCCTGTGTGTGAGGAGTGTGTATAGAGGGAAAATAGACAGATTTTTCTTTTTGGAGATGGGCATAGGGAAAGTATTATCAGTTTATGCCCACAGATATACAAATACAACACAGATTCAAGCCTTGGACTTCTCCTGCTTACCATCTCCCTTCTCCAACCTCCACCAAAAAAACAGTTGGTCAGCTTATGCATTTCTACCTCCTTTTCACTCCTACCTGTTAGTTCTGTAATTATTATAGGAGGGCAAGAATAGCCTCACTCCTCTAAGTCTACATCTCTAAGGCCAGTTCTCTGAGAACTAAAGAGAGAAGAAAGAGGAGGTCAACTAAGGAGGCAGATCAAAGATTAATGGACTTCTGGAATATGAATGTTCTTTGAGACATTTTTCCCCCTTTGGAATAATGGACAGTACCTAACTTAAAAATTACTTGATATATTGTTTTAAAAAGGAAGAAAAAAAGGTGTGATACTTAAGAGTCCATTTCCAGGCCAGAGTATGCTAAAGAAAGTCCAGAGTAGACAGGAACTGAGGGTTAAGAGAAGTAGGAGATGTGCTCAGAGACCAAGTTCATGTATATGTCTACCAAACTAGCCAGGTTTCATATTGAGTTGCTCCATTACGGCCTGTGAACTGAAGCAAATCCAAGCTAAGACCTCTCAGATTCACTGTAGACTTGCAATGGAATCAGAAACCAAAGGCCAGTCTCTGTCATCATGGCATGTATTAAAGAGGATGGAGACAAGAGAGATACGGCAAATTTTATCCTGACGTTGTGGATTCATTCACCTCATAACACTGCAGATAACTGCTTTCACTGAGGAAAAACAACCTCCTAATCCAACTTACCTGGACAAAAAAAATAAAGTGCTTGAAAGATGTATTGAGATGTGCTTCCTCCTGAAGCTGGATCACAGGGTCAAAATGCTGATGATAAATGTGAGCATAAACCCTAAAGAGGCGTTTGAGTATAGTTTTTGCCACAGACATGAAATTTTTCGGGAATGGGACACCTAGAAAATAGATACACAATCCCTTCTATTAAAAACAAGAGACAAGAGCAAAGCAATATGAGTTTGTCAGCAAATGGTAACATAAATTACCAAGACAAGGCTGAAAATAAGAAGTATTTGTGAATTACTACTTAATATACCTGTTGTACTTTTCAGATGTTCTCAATATATCATGAATGATAATAAACGTTAACACTTCTATGGAATAAGAACTAGTCTTCAACATAGCCCTTTAGGTCTCTAATGTATCACCACTTTACCAAAATGAAACTTATAAATGCCTAAGATGGTAATGGGGCTAAAACTCATACTCAGATCTTCAGATTACTTATGCTGAACACAAATAATGTATTAATCATGTTCAGTTTTGTTTAAAATGCCTGTAATATATTTTTTTCTATGGAAATGTTTTCATTACTACTCCAGATCTACATTTACCTGAAATTAGCTGCAGTCTCTGCTCAACTAGAGAGATTTCTTTTATGAATTGAGCACTTTTACAGCATTAAACAAATACAAAACTGGAAAAATACAAAATTCCATATCCTTTGTTAAACTGGCTAAATGATCCAGATTGGCAAAACACAACCAAACACCAGTACTTCTGGACTCAATGTCATCACATTGCCTACTGCTCATTTAAAAATAGTATATAGGTCACAAGAAAACATAAGACAAACCAAAATGAAGGAACACTATATAAAATAGTATGCCTACACTCTTCAAAAAATGTCAGTGGTCATGAAAGATCAAAAAAGACTGAAGTATACGTATTTCACATTAAAGTAGGCTAAAGAGACATGGCACTGAATGAAAATAAATGTCAAACATTTTCTTTTGCTATAAAGGTTATGACTAGGAAATACTGAAAGATCTGAATAAGATGTATAAATTGGACAACAGTATTGTATCAGTGTTAATTTCTTGATTTTGATGGTTATACTGTGATTTTCTAAGGAAATACACATTGAAGCACATACAGGTAAAGGGACATCATATATGCAACTTACTCTCAAACAGTTTAGGAAAAAGAGAGAATGTGGGGTGGGGAGAGATGGAGAGGGAGAGAGAAATCAAATGTGTTAAAATGTTGGCAACTGAAGAATCTGGAAGAAGGATATATAAGGATTCTTTGCACGATTCTTACAAATTTTCTAAAAGTCTGAAATTGGGTTAAAATAGAAAATTAACAAATATATTATGGAAGATAAAAAATAAGATGAGGGCACTTATCCCAAACCATTACTATGTATATAAGAAATGCAGTGTAGAAAAGTAGTAGACCTTTTATTACAAAAGCTTCAAATAGTTAAAGCATTCAATAAATGTGTTTAAAACAACCCATAATAACAGCAAATATTTACACTGCTGTCTCCTCCACCACATACTTCTCCCCAAAACTAAAAAAAGCATAAAATACAGTCAAAAAGCCAAGAAGGGCAAATTCTTAATTTTTTCAGAAAACAAAGTTCTAAAGAGTTTGACATGGTAAAATCATATGAACTGTCTAAATGTAAACAATTTCCACTTGAAAGGTCAGTCCTCCTTAAGAACAAATATTAAAAAAGCAAGTGTCACACAGTTGATAACAGGCTCACCCCTCAAATCTTCTTGTTTTCTTCTCACCTAGCCTGACTTCACAGTTTGTAAGGTTCACACTGTGGGTCATGAATACAAAAACCCTCTTTGCCATAAGAATAATGTATAACTGGTTTAAGTCATATAAACTCCCTTCCCAAACAAAAAAATGGATATGACTACAGCAGATGATCCAACGTCTAGTCTCTTTTTTTCCTAACACAGGCCAAATTTGTTACTATCCAAGATGCACTGAAGTTCTTACCATTTAAAATTATAGGGAGGTTTACTTTAATGTTCATGACAAACTTGGTGTAAAAAAGATAGGACTCTTTAAAGTATATAACATTAGGAATATTTTGATAGGTATGGTAATTTAGCATGGTTCCTGGAATAGAGAGCCAATAAGCCCTAGAAATGTGTGAAATTACATAAATCACGATGGATCCCAGTTATACAAAACAGTTATACCTATTTTTGATGGAAATAATGTCTCATCATCCAACTGGTCCTGAACCCAAGTCATCAGGTAATCAATATACTTTGGTGCAGAGCACTTAATAGGCTTCTTTATGTTTGTTCCATCTGCCCAATGATACTCATATCTGCAGTAGAAAGATAAAAAGCACACAGACCATCAGTATATACCTATACATAGTGTGTATATTTTTTAAATTACATATGTATGTTTATTATGAATGTATTCAGGATATATTTTAAACAATCTGCTCCTCCAAAAAAAGATTTTTTGCATATGACATTTAAATCTAGCCATTTTTAAATTGGTACTGGACTGTTCTGCATTTATCAGAATGCAACCTAAGCAGATCCCATCAAACTCATTTTTTATGAGCTTTCCTTCATATATAGCATTTGTATTTTAGAATCACACATAGTATAAATTACCATAGTAGAAAACCTTTTTTACCTCCCATCTTTATGATTATTTTTCTTCTTCAAAAAACATTTCTCTTTAGGCAGTACAATTCTTTTTAACTTGGGGCTTTAAATTGTGGGTTAAGGATAGAGAATAACACAGACATGTCAAAGTAAGGTGAATGTAGAAGAGAATGATTTTATTTGAATACATTTGGTTGAGGAGCTAAACATGCCTTTGAGGAAAACTGGCAACCCAAATAAAGACGCCTATAGTATTTGGGTATTAACCTAACACTGTCCTTTGGTATAATAAACATTTAATGCGCACCTACCATGTGAGAAATACTGTGTCAAGGAATACTGTTCTTGAACAAGGGACACTAAGATGAAAGACATTTTCTCTACTCTCAAGGAGAAGAGACAGAGAAGACAAACTTGTAAATAAGCATGTAAAAATAGTACAACAGAATGCTAATAAATTACATACATACATACAAACACACACACACAACCACAACCTGATTTTTAAGATAAGAAATAAGCATGCAGCTAAAACTCTAAAGTATAAAAATGTCTAAACTGAACTAGCATTTAGTTTTTTAGTTTCTGAAAGGCTCTCTCTCCCACTTCGCTTCTCTCTTCAAATCAACTGTGTTTTTCTAGCCTCATCCCAGAGTTTGAACTGATATAATGATGGGTGAGTAAGCCTAGTAAAGGAACTGAAGGGAATATAATGGAAAAATATGACAGGGTATTTTAAACAATGAAAATTATCTTGCAATAGGATACATAAGGATGCTTCCTATTTAATCATAGCTACTTACATTTGAACAGTAAACCTTAAACAGGATATACGTGAATAAACTTTCTAACAGCATACCTTATTGCCAACCCTGGGCAACAGGGATGCAAGTCAAGTCTACTTTGAAGGTCTCCAAGTGGAGATTCCCCGACATTTCTTGGCATCCTGTTCCACTATTTAATCACTTTCACAGTCAAGAGAATCTTCCTAATATAAAACAAGTCTTGACTGACTTAAGCCCATTCTTGTTTCAATCTCTCAGGAGACAGAAAACATGACTTTTAACTATCATTACTTATCCTTCTTAAAGACAGGAACTCACCCATGTCTTCTCCCTTATGTTAAGAAACCTTAATGTCTTTACCTTTCCCTTATAGTCATGTTTTCCATTTTGTTAATGATCCTCAGGTGTTCCATAGTCATTTTTAAATGCAAAAATCAAAAGCAGACAGAGTAAGCAAAAAAATCATTTTCAATATCCTGAAGCTTTATAAAAAATACCAATTTTCAATGTCTTAAGGATTTTTTAAAAATAAAACAAAAGTATATTGCTTATACTTCTAGAGTTTATGAATGTGATTCCCTGATTCTTTTACTTTTGCCATGTTTATACTTAAGATGACTTCATCTTGTAACTCTATTTTGCCCCCATTGACTTTTTAATTCCACCTCTGACAGACTACTGTCTTTGAAATTTATTTCTGTTATCATGGTACGAACTTATAAACTGCAAATTCTAAAATACTCATTTCTTAGTTAATAATAATAAATAATAACTAGGAAAAAATTCTATGAGCCATCACTCAGTACCACTTTGCAAGGAACCAGTGCTAATCAGCTTTTTTAACCAGCTATTGGCAAATACTTCTCCGTGGTACAATCCTGAGCATCTGCTGGTAAAGATGGTAAACCACGGCAACAACTACATCTTCTCAGCACTAACAATGGGCAAAAGTTAAGGCTCTCCCAAAAAAAAAAAGGAAGGAAGAAGGGCAGGTAGAAGAAGAGGTGGAGGGAGGAAAGAAAGGAAGTTAGGGGGATGGAAGGAAGGAGATCACTTCTCATTTTTGTAGTATCTATAGAGATCCTGTGCCTGTTACTTCTGAAAATGTAGGCACATTCCTCCTACACCAGCCATTTAGATAACGTTTCTCTGGGGAAAGTGACAAGGGCAGTATTCTAACTGGCAGTAATTCTTCCTAGTTCACAGGAACAGGATATTGGTGTAATATCAGAAAAACCTCCCAGTAAAATACTAGTCAACTAGAAAAGGGGAAAAAATGACAAATTTTAGGTGAAGAAAACTCGCAGACACTAACATGAAAAGGCAGTCAGGATTAACATCAACGGTGATGGGATGGTCCACGTATACGCCTCCTCACATGATCCCCTGACAAAGAAGGTATCATTTCTGTGGTGTTCCACCAAAAATGCACCGCCTGAATGTGATCATAAGGAAAATTCAGACAGACTGTAGCAGGGATCCTGAAAACCACCTCCAAGTGCAGTGATTTGCAAAGAGGACTTACAGAACTCAGCTTCTGGCTGTACTCACAGCTATGATTTATTACAATGAAAGAACACAAACCAAAATCACCAAAAGTGGCAAAGTCCAGAGGAAACCAGACACTTGCTTTCAAGAGTCTTCTCCCTGTGGAATCACACAGGCCACACTTTATTCTCTGAAAATTGACATGTGTTAAATACTTCCCACCAGGGAAGCTTATTAGAGACTCAATGTCTGGGTTTTCTACTGGGGGATGGCCAAGTAGGCATCTCTGCATAGCACATACTAAAATTCCACACTTCAGAAGGAAAGCATAACCTATACTGTATGTACAAAAATGGCACAGAGAGCCACTCTTAAAAGTTAGGGTGATAGGAACTCTTCAAAATTCCAAGTTCCCAGATGCCATCCAAGGGTCAACTTGGTAAATAGGCCTTTAAAAAGATGGCAGTCAGAATTGCAATGTTAACTCTTGTCTGTACAAAAGCCAATATGGGGAAAGATGGAGGAACTCTTCTAGATTCAAGGTACCAGAAGAGATAAGTCAAAAAAATGAAGAACATACTCCTAGATAGGATCCTGGACCAGAAAGGAAAAACTGAGATGTTGCTGAGGCTGCTGATGAATGGTGAATGGTGTCTATTGACAGGAGGAAGTGATCCGGAGGGTTCATATTCTGGTTATGTCAAAGTGTATCCCTGTTTTTGGAAAATACAGCTGAAATATGTAGGAGTAAAGGGGCATAATGTATACAACTTGTTCAAAGGGTTCAGAAAAATTAATGTTAATGAGTATACATTTAGAGGGAGTAGGTGATGAAGCAGGTACAGTAAATTATGTTTATAACTAGGGAACCGGGGTGAAAGGGATATGGGAATTCGTTGAGCTATTCTGGCAACTTTTCTGTACACTTAAAACCACATGAACTTTCAAAGTTTGAAACAGTTTAAAAACAAGTCCTTTTCAAAAGAATTACCTTAGGAAATATTCAAACCGTATTATTCTGAACATCACTGACGATGGCAAAAAGTCAATTCTTTTTAAAAAGGACTGGATTCTGAGAAACATCTAAACTCATTTGGAATCAATCTGTGGCATAGGTTGATTACTCCAACTAGGTAATACTTTGTTCAACATGTGAACCGGTCAAAAAGTAAAGCAGGACTATTAAGTAATAAAACTAAATCTCTTGGGTAGTTATTTGACTCTGACACTACAATTTAAATCTACCAAAAATATTATGAGCAATGAAAACATTAGTAGAGTATGTGGTGAGAAATCAAAGTGACTACTTCTAATGGTAACACTCCTAGGCAACAGTAAGTTTGGGCAGTTTGTTTTATTGTTTTGTTTTAATATTTAAATCTTGGATATAACTGCGGTGGGGGGGAGAGAGAATGTACTTTATAAAAAGTCAGTACTAAAAATTAAAACTTATTTCCTTACAGGGGTCCCAGAAGGAAAAGAGACAGAAAAGGGGCAAAAGATTTATTAGAAGAAATATAGCTGAAAACCTCCCTAACCTGGGGAAGGAAACAGACATCCAGGTCCAGGAAGCACAGAGTTCCAAACAAGATAAACCCAAAGAGGACCACATAGACACATTATAATTAAATAGCAAAAATCAAAGATAAAGAAAGAATCCTAAAAGCAGCAAGAGAAAAGCAACTAGTTACATACAAGGGATCTCCCATAGGACTATCAGCCAAATTCTCAGCAGAAACTTTGGTGGCCAGAAGGGAGGAGCATGATATATTCAAAGTCATAAAAGAAAAGGCCTACAACCAAGAATACTTTACGTAGCAAGGTTTTCCATTCAGATTTGAAGTAAAGATAAAGAGTTTCACAGACAAGCAAAAGCTAAAAGAGTTCAGGAGCACTAAACTAGCTTTACAAGAAATGTTAAAAGGGTGTCTCTAAACTAAAAGGCAAAGGCTACAACTAGAAATATGAAAATCAGGAAAGGGAAAATCTCATTGGTAAAAGTAAACATACAGTAAAGATAGCAAATCAACTACTTATAAAGATAACAGAAAGGTTGAAAGAAAAAAGGAGTAAAATCATCTACATCTACCATAAGTAGTTAAGGGATACACAAAACAAAAAGATATAAAATATGACATCAAAACCATTAAATGCTTAGGAGGCAAGGGAGTAAAAACATAGGGGTGGTTATAATGCATTCAAACTCAAGAGATCATCAACTTAGAGTAACCATATATATATGATTGCAATATATGTTATATATCATATATATTATATATATAAATATATGGTTGTTATACATGAACCTCATAATAAACAAAAATCAAAAATCTATAATAGATACACAAAAAAGAGAAAGGAATCCAAACATACACTGAAGATAGTCATCAAAACACAAGGGAAGAGAGCAAAAGAAGAAAGGAGCAAAAAAGAAATACAAAAACAACCCAAAATCATGAACATGTCAATAAGGACATACATACTGATAATTATTTTAAATGTAAGTGAACTAAATGCTCCAAAAAATAGACACAGAATGGCTAAACAGATACAGAAACAAGACCCATATATATACTGCCTACAAGAGACTCACTTCAGATCTAAAGACACACACAGACTGACATTAAGGATATGGAAAAAGGTTTTCTGTGTAAATGGAAACAACAAGAAAGCTGGGGTAGCAATACTTTTATCAGATAAAACATTTTTTAAAAATTACTGTAATAAGAGACAAAGAAGAACACAGTACATCATGATAAAGGGATCAATCCAACATGAAGATACCACATTATAAATATATATGCATCCATCACAGAAGCACCTAAGTACATAAAGCAAATAATCACAGACATAAAGGGAGAAACTGAAAATAATACCTTAATAAGTGACAGTAACATCCCATTTATATCAGTGAACAGATCATTCAGACAGAAAATCAGTAAGGAAACACTGGCCTTAAATGACCAGAATATTAGACATCAAAAAAGGAGCCAAACATTTAAAAAAAAAATCTTGGCTTTTTTTTTTGAGGGGGAAAGTAGTTACTTATTCATTTATTTATTTTTTTTAATGGAGGTACTGGGGCTTGAACACAGGACCTCATGCATGCTAAGAATGCACTCTACCACTAAGCTATACCCTCACCCAAACATTCTTTTTTGAGTGTATATGGAACATTCTCCAGAATAGATCACATGCTAGGCCACAACAAAAATCTCAATGTATTTAAAAATATTGAAATCATATCAAGTATCATTTTCAACAAAAATGGTGTAAGACCAGACATCAAATACTAGAGAAAAACTGCAAAAATCACCAATAGGTGCAATCTAAACAACATGCTACCCAATAAGCAATGGATCACTGAAGAAATCAAAGAGGAAATTAAAAAAATACCTGGAGACAAATGAAAACAAAAACGTAATGACCCAAAATATAAGGGATGAAGCAAAAGCAGTTCTAGGAGCAAAGTTTATAGCAATACAAGCCTGTGTTAAGAAAATAAGAAAATCCTCAAATAATGTATGCTTACGCTGAAAGTAACTAGAAAAATAGAACAAAGATAAAGTAAAAATGAGAAGTGATCATGAATCATGTCTTACTTTGGGCCTGCTGACATCACCGGACAACTTTCTTCAGTACAAAAATCTGTGATTGTTCCATACAGCATGTTGATCTGATTGAAGAAATCTACAGCTGCAAAGCAAATATACATAATAAATAAAAATTAAATTTTACTTTTACTCAAGCAGAATCTTTTATCCAAGCAGAATCTTAGATCAGTGTTCTTTCCTCAACAAAGAACAGGTGAAAAGCATACAAACAAATATTTGGCTCACAAAACTTAGGAGCTTCTGTTTATTAAGTGACTCCCTTAAGGGAGTAAAAAGGAAAGCACAGAGTGGGAGAAATTATTTGCAACACATATAATCAATAAAAATCTTGAATTCAGAATATATAAAAAACTACTATAGATAACTAAGAAAAAGGCAACACAGTAAAAAATGTGAGTTTTGAACTTACATGTCACAAAAGAAGTTTCCAGACGGTCAAAAAGCATATGAAAAGATGTTGGCAATCATGGAACTGAAAATTTAAATGACAGTGGAATGCCATTCTATAGCCATCAAAAAGGCTAAAATTTAAGTGACAATGCAAAGAGCTAAGAATATCCAACACATTCTTAAAAAAGGACAAGGTGCATACCAAAAATTATAAAGCACAATGAATAAAACAGTGTGGACTTAGTAGACCAATGGAACAAAACTGAGAACAGAAACAGATGTAAACATAGAAGAAACACTTGATTTATAATAAAGCCGTCACTACAGAACAATAGGCAAAGGACAGTCCTCTCAAATAGCTATGAATCTACTGGTTATCTCTACAGAAAATAAAACTTGACCCTTCACTCACAGCATACCCAAAAAGCAATTCCAAGTGGATCATACATCTAAATGTGACAAGACAATAAAGTTTAAAAGCAGAGAAAAATATTTCCGTGAACTTTGGCATGGATATATTTCTTAAGAAAAGCACAAAAGCACCAATCATAAAGGAATAGTTTTTCAAATGTTTCACTGGAAAACTGTTATTCCTTGGTTTTTGATATTTTTGATGCTATTCATAATTTTTTATATTGACCTTAGAGCCAACAAGTTTATTAAAATTACCTATTGGTAATATTAATCATGGTGTAGTAATAACAATCTTGGTCGTTTGGTTTTTCAACATTCATTCATATTGGCTATAATAAGTATAAATGTTCTTTCTTCCTTTCCAGTCATTATCTTTTATTCTTTTTCCTGCCTTACTGCGTTGGCTAAGATTCCAGTAGAGTGGTGGTTCCTTAACTTTTTTCTAATCTGAGGAAAATAACTTCAACATTTCATTACCAAGTATAGTGTTAGCTATACCTTTTTTGTAAATAGATATGCTTTATCAGAAAAAAGTTCTCAACTATTAATTTGATAAGTTTTTAAATTATGAATTGATTTTGAGTTTTATCAAATGTTTTTTCTCCATATATTGAGATGATCATATGATTTTTTTCCCTTCCTCCTTTATTTTGGCTAAATGGTGAATTACAATTGATTTTTAAGTGTTAAGCCAACCTTTTCTTTCAGGAATAAGCTCAATTGGGTCATGGTATGTTATACTTTTTAAGTATTGCTATATTCAAATTTCTAATATTTTTATTAGGGTTTTTACATCTAAGTTCGTAAGTTAGATGACCTAGTTTTCTTCCTTGTAATGTCCATGTAAAGTTCATAACACTAGTATTTTCTCCATTCTGCATAAGAGCTTTAGTAAGACTGGGGTTCTTTTTTTTTTTGGACATTGCTAAGATATTTCATTCTCTTTTTTTCATCAAAGTAAAGCTGATTTACAATATTGTATTAGTTTCAAGTACACAACACAGTGATTCAATACTTTTATAGCCTATACTCTATTTAAAGTTATCATAAAGTACTGGCTGTATTCTGTGTGCCGTACAATATATCTCTGTTGTTTATTTATTTACATAGAAGTTTATACCTCTTAATCCCCTACTCCTATCTTGCCCCTTCGCCTACCCTCTCCCTACTTGCAACCAGTAATTTGTTCTCTATATCTGTGAGTCTTGTTTTGTTATATTCATTTATTTTTTAGATTCCACATGAGTGATAGCACACAGTCTATCTGTCTTTCTGTATCTGACTTATTTCACTAAGCATAATACCCCTCAAGTCCATTCATGTTGTTGTAACAATATTCCACTGCATTATCCATTCATCTGAAGGACACTTGGGTTGCTTCCATATCTTGACTATTGTAAATAGTGCTGCTGTTACACTGTGGTGCATGTATCTTTTCAAATCAGTGTTTTCATTTTTTCCAGATATATACCTGGGAGTGCAATTGCTGGATCATATGGTAGTCCTATTTTTGTTTTTGAGGAGTCTCCATACTGTTTTCCATAGTAGTTGCACCAATGTACATTCCCACCAACAGTGTATTACAGTTCCCTTTTCTTCACATCATCACTAATATTTATTATTTGTGATCTTTTAGATGATAGCCCTTCTGATGGGTATGAGGTAATATCTTGCTGTGGTTTTGACTTGCATTTCTTTGGTTAGTGATATTAAGCATCTTTTCATGTACCTGTTGGCCATGTTTATGTTTTCTTTGGAAAAACATCTATTCAGGTCCTCTGCACGTTTTTTGATTAGGCTGTCTGTTTTCTTATTGGGTTGTACAAGCTGTCTATATATTTTGGACATTAACCTCTTACCAGTCATATATCACTTGCAAATATTTACTTCATACATTAGGTTGTCTTTTCATTTTGTTGATGGTTTCCTTTGCTATGCAAAAGCTTTTAAGTTTAATTACGTCCCATTTGTTTACTTTTGCTAATAAGATTGGTGTTAACTTCTACCTTAAGTGTTTGGTGGAAATCTCTATTGTGGGAATGCTTCTAATTGGATCATAATTTTTAAAAATAGTTACCAGACTATTCAGATTTTTAAATTTTTGTGTCACCTTTGCTATGCTAAATTTTTCTTAGAATCTGCCTATTTCAATTAAATTTTCAAATTTACTGGCATAAACATGAAACTAGTTCATAATATTCTCTTATGTTTAATATTGTATAAGATATTTAGTGATAATTATTTTTTCATTCCTGAAATTGGTTACTTGTCCTTCCTCTCACTTTTTCTTGATCAGCCTTAGCAGGGTTATCAATTTTATTAGATTCTTTTCAAGGAACTATCATTTTTTCTTTTGTTGATTTTCTCTATTATATATGTGTTTTCTATTTTAGTAACTTTTGCTCTTATCTTTACCAGTACCTTAACTTTCTTTGCATTTGACTTACTGTTGTTCTAAATTCTGGAAAGTGATGATTGGATCTTTAATTTTTAATACTTTATCTCTTCTAATATATGTATGTAAAGCTCTAAACTTTCCTCTAACACAGTATTAGTCACATCCCACAAGTGTTCACACATAGTATTTTCATTACCATATTTCAGCGAAAAATATTTTCTAATTTCCATTGAGATTATTCTTTCCAAACACATACAGATAGATTTCCCAGCTTTTGTCACTGTTTTCTGTCTCAATTCTATTATGGTCAAAGAACATACATTACACGATTTCAATCCTTTTAATTTTTAAAGACGTGCATGTACATAGTCTGAGGTGCTTAGGTCATGTGTCCCTCAGGTCAAGTCTGTTAATTATGTTGCTCAAATCTGTCTAATTCCTTAATAAAGTTTTTCCTCTATACTTTCTATCCATTTCTGAGAGAGGGATGCTTAAATCTCTCATTATGAGTGTGGATTTGTCTATTTCTTCTTTTAGTTCTGGGAACTGATTTTAAGGTATTCTGGGGATCCGATTAAAGATACATTCAGAACTTCATATATTCTTTGTAAATTAAATCATTTTTCATTTTTAAATCTCCCTTATTCAAGTTTTTCTGCCTTCAAGTACACTTTATTTTACATTAACATGACTACATCAGTTTTCTTTAGATTAGTGTTCACCTTTTTAGTTTCAACCTGTATCATCTATTTAAAGTATGCCTCTTAGAAACAGAATTTAGATTTGTTTTGTTTTCAACTGTCTTAACATAATTGTCTTTTTATTGAAGCATTTTGTCCTTTACATTTAACACAATTACTAATTTGGGGATTTCAATTTATCATATTACTATTTGGTATCTATTTATCCTATTATGTGATTCTTTTCCTTTTCTTTTTTATGTTCTTTAGGACTATTTTTACTGGTCTATTTTTCTCCTCCATTAGCCAGATAATTATACATTCATTTACCATTATTTCAGTCCTACCATAGATCAAGGGTTAGCAAATTATGACCAAAGGGCAAATCTGGCACATTACCTGTTTTAGTAAATAGTTGTATTGGAATGCAACCCTGCTTACTTGGATGCAGACTGTCTATGGCGGCTTTTGCACTGTAGCAGTAGAGCTCAATAGGCGCAACAGAGTCCATGTGGCCAGCAAAGCCTAAAATGTTTACTGTCCGGCCCTTTACAAAAAAATGTGTTAACTCTTGTCCTAGCGTATAACACAAGCATCCTTGATTTAACTAAGTCCAAACAAAAATAAGTATTTTTAGCTCTTTCCAAACAATGGATGATCTTTAGATATGCCAGAAACCATGCTAGTTTCTAAGAATAAGGAACAAAACTGACTCAACTCGTGTCCTCATTGAGTTTACAGGCTAATAGGAAAATATCACTTGAGCTTATTATAAAGGAAAGTATAAGTTGTGAAAGCAAACAGCTTCCCCTCAGTGTGCCCTTTCTGTTGGTATAAAACAGTCAATAAGAACTTGGCACAAATTAACTTAACAAAACTACAAGGAGTGTTCCAAAACCACTGACATCTATCTAGCCAGACTCTAATACCCTATTGTCTATGCTCTCCTGGACAAAAATATATGTTTTTAAGTTTCTCAGGCAAAAAGGGACTATTTAACCATATGTTTAATAACAAATACCACATATGGTGACTATGAGTTACGCTTCTGTTCCTTCTTATTTATACAGTCCTATGCCTCTTTCCATCCCATTAATTGCCCATAAACAGCACTCTGCTTTTTTAATTCAGACTTTCTAGAGCACCAGAAGGAAAAAAATTTGACTTAAACGGAGTCAGAATTAATTACAGATGAAAGTAGAGCAGTAATAAGCATTATACTAATTTAATCCTACGAGTTTTCCTCTGCCCTCTTTCCTCTCCATGGGCCTAGATTTACTCAGTAATGACTCTGCAACTTAATGACTCTTAAGTTGTCCTCCACATGAATAGAGGAAAATCTATGGCTTTGAATCTCAACTTCTATACTAAATGGCTGAGTTACTTAAATTCCCTGAACCTCAGTTTCTTACCTTTAAGATTGGGTTTATTGCAGAGTGCTTAAAAAAAAAAAGCGTCTACCATAAAGTAGGCATTTAGTAAATGTTAGTTTCCTTCCACAAAGAAATGGCCTCGAGATTCTGTGTCACATAAATTATTTATAAAGCATCCATCCAGCTTCTTCCAAAATCCTAAACCTTCTTTCTAGCTTCTTTAAGCTGTCACTATAGCAGCAGAATGTTCAAAACCAGGCTCTGCTTTCTGGCTATAAGACTAGTTGTTGCATTTGTAAAATTTCCCACCTTCTACCACTTTATCTTCATCTGGTAAGTAAATTGAAGCCAGAAGGCCATTAAGATGCCAATCTTATCAACAAATTCCCTTTACTCTTTCAAGTACCTGAAACTGTCAGTGAACAGAAATATCTGTCTAGCATCAAATCCCACTCACTTCATCAACTGTCATTTGGGAAAATTACTATAAATCAGAAAAAAATTGTAATCCAATCTTTGAGTGAAATGTTGTATTTTAAAGGCAGAACTCTATGTTCTACAGGGAATGTTCTAACATTTCAGCTCAAAGTAATTTTCTTCTAGCTATAAATGCAAAATGCCCGTGAAACTTTAGAAGTTCCTGGAGCTCTAGGCATTTCAATAGTACAGATACTCAGTTCTGGTATTTGAGACAAAGAGAATACAGACAGAAAATGATGATCGGCTTTTATACTTAAAAATCAGAATTTCAGGTAGAACAGAAGCTCTGTGATGCCTTCCTTAGATTTTTTAAATTAGAAAATGAGCTCTCAAATAAATGGTACAAATAGGCACAAACAAGTGCCCCCCAAAAGAATGTACACATATACTGGAAACTTACTCTGAATCTTGTCCTTGAGGGGTCACAGAACTATCTATATAGGTAAGATCAGCCTCATCAATAAAACAAACCAACCACTTTATCTCTTTAGTAACTAAACTCCCTAGGTCCAGGAGGATAACTGTATTAAATAAATACTGCTCTTATGTAAATGCTGTCACATCGAAGTTTTAAGACATTTCAGTAAAATCCTTTAGGTTCCTGAAAGTTACCAGTGGGTGGCAGCTCAATTTATAAATCCCATGATATGTTTCAAATTATAATAAGACACCATCAAATACTACATTAAAAGTACTGTTTTGTTTTTCTTTGGTCAAAGCATAGACATTTAGTGTATATTTTCAATTAAATTTCATTTTATTTTTACTAGTCATATAAATTGCCTCCAATTATAAAATTCTATTAATTTCTTCACCAATGCTGAAAAGCCCTCAATATTAAAAGTACCACTTCTATTTCTCAACTTTCTCTGGCTAAATTTCCAAGAATATATTTATTTTCTATTTATATTTTTTACTTCCCAGAGGTTAAGAATATACCATAAACATATTTTACTGAGATATCACTATATTGTGATATTAGGTTGCTAACTAGATCCTCGAATAGACAGCACCCCAACACTCACCTACAATGAGGCTACTACCCTATGGTAGAGTCTTCTGAGAAACAGAAAGGCTACTTACTGTTCACTGCAACCCACTCATTGAGATCTTCCCCCTCAGGAAGCATGACAGCCATCCGGAGGTTTCCACTGCCAAGTGTGGCCTCTGCATGCTTTAAGAGCTCATACTGGTGAGAACCCTCGGGAATGTTCTTCTTTGGTTTAAAGGTTTTAGAGGAACGGCTACCACTACGAATAGAAAAGAAGAAAGGGCACTTTAGTATTTAAGGCATGACTTTCAAGAGAGTCTACTACACTGTTCCTGGATAAAACAGCAGAGAGGTGATCCTCAAAGTCCACAAATAAACTGTCCTAAGTCATACAGGCTACATTAAATTCTGGCAGTATCACTGCTGTAGTTACTGTGTTTGATTACCCAAAACTCCTACAAACCTTCTCTACATTCCCTACTGTAACTCCCAAGGAGAAAAAGGATTTTTAGCTAGAACTAACCCAGCTAACTAATCCAACAATAAATTAACAATTCAGGATTATAAACTGTAATCTATAAAAACAAAAAGTAACTTCTGTGATAATTTTTAGTCATTGTATTCCTTTTCACCCTTATTCTAAGTCTTTCACCCTAATACAGTTTCCTTTGTATAGAAAGCATAAAGATATAATTTTATATCAATAAAGCACAAAAATCCTAGAGCAAGAAAGAAAAGCTACATCTTCTATCCAATTATAGGAAGCACCAGCAATCTTAATCCAGAGTTGCAGGTATGCAGGTAAGTGACTAGACATTAATATGGTTGCTCAAATTTCTAAATGTATGTGTATATTTACACACATACAAATATATTTTTTAAATGGATCAAATCAAACTAGTCTTAGAAATGGTTTTTAAGAGTTCTTAAGAGATGGAGTCTTCTGTTAATGCTGGCAAATTCTTTTCAAACTGTACAATATTCCAGTCATCCATTCTCTAGACACCTCCTCTTCTTATGAAAAGGAATAGTTAGGGAAAGACTGAATTAGAAGAGGCTGGGTAAGTGGGAATTACATAAAATTTAATGTTATTAAATTCATGTCACCATAATATTCAGACATTTGAACACATGAAAATTAAAATAAAATTCCAAAGAGAACAGATAAACAATAATTATACTCTTCAAACTCTCCAACCCCTTTTTCCCAAGCTTACCCCCAAGATCGTTCCTTTTTTCCCCAAGATAAAGCAGTAGGTCTCATCCCTGGTACATTTTATAATCAGTTGAAAAGCTTTCAAAACGTACTGAGGATCCTAACATAAACTAAGACTTCACCAGTCAATATGAAAACGAATATATGTACTTATATGTATAACTGAAGCATTATGCTGTACACCAGAAATTGACACAATATTGCAAACTGACTATACTTCAATTAAAAAAAAAAGAAGAATCTACCAGTCTACTCAAATATCCAACTCAAGTGACAGGTATTTTCACTCTAAGATAATGGCATTCTCCTTTGAATGTAAGTCTCAGGTGATTATTTAGAGTAAAGGATGCTCCTCAGCTCTGACACTGGCCCCTCTCCCTGCCAGATGTCTCTACTCAACAGCCAAGGAATCTTTAAAACACTGATCAGATGATGTTACTCCTCTGCTTACAACCACTCAGTGGCTTTACTCAGAGTAAATCCTGAAGTCAAATATTAGACACAGTCAAATTCTGGACCCACATCAGAGTGTGGAAACTCTTTTTCAGTTTAATCAGATAATGTATCAAACACCAAATTCCCTCACAGCACCTCTAAAATACAAAAACATAGAAAAGATCATTATGCCTACTGAGCCTGAGGCTTATTTCATTTTCCTGCTTCTTCTCACCCTTTGTTTATTAAAATTTAGTGTGAGAAACAAACATTTTTACAAAAAGACACTTTACTAACTTATGTGTGGCCAATTACAAAAACAGCTCTCCTAACACCAGTCTGGTGCATGCCTCCAGGTCAAGTGTTGAGTACACTCCTTTTAACGGGCCCACTGCTCTTGAGGACGTGACAAGCTGCTTTGAGAAGGGCTGGCAGTCCCTGAGAACAAGCATATCAGCTGTGCCTGCACTCGGCAGGGTCAGAGCCTCATCTGCCCCCCAACCATCTACTTACTGAACCACTCTGCCCCGAAACTGCGAGCTTCCAAATGCTCTCTTGATTGATGCCCCACCCAGAACTGCTCTTCCACAATGCTCAACAAACCACCTCAGAAGACCTTACACTTAGGTAGAAAGAAAAAAGAAATCTGAATTTGATTTTGTGAAGGCCAGTTTTGACACTTATCGGCAATATTATCTCAGGCAAATTACCAAACTATTTTGTGCCTATTTTCTTAACAGTGAAAGCCTAATAAAAATAATAAAACACCACTACTACCTGTATCATAGAACAGTTAGTTGCAAGATGAGAAAATAAGCTGTAAAATGCTGTGCAAATGTTAGTACTCTCATTATCCTTCTTTTTCCTGAACCAGAATGACCTAAGGTGAAAACAAAAACAAACACAAAAAAACGGCAGTGCAATGTCCAAAGCCGGATTCAACCCCTATTCCCACTCTCATCTCCTAAGACTGGATGGGAAAAATATATTCTTACTTTGAAACAAGTGCTCTTACATATCAAGTTCCAAACAGAATTTCAAAAAGTGTTTTGTTTTGGTGTTTGGTGCTATTCCCATATCAAGGTTCAGGTGATCTCAGAATAACCCTGGGGCTAGACTGGAAATCAAGAAAACAAGGTCCCGGTCCTCATTTTGCTATTTTCTTCTTATGTTACTTAAGAAACCACAAATTATCATCTTGAGCTTCAATTTCTTTATTTTGTTTTTTGAAAGTCTGGAAAATAACTTTTAACAAAAGGGTATAATTTAGAGATGAGATGATGTTTATAAAGTATTTTAGTTCTCCATTCTCCATTTCCACGTACATTCATACTTCCAAACTGCTTTTCAAGTCCTCCATTGAATTCCCTATCCCTATGACCCTTCTGCTTTATTCAGGCAGAATAACTAACAATATTCTGACTTTTTAAAATATTCTTTTTTGAAACTATATTCAGCTTTTTCTTCAACTGCTACCTGAAACTTCAGCCAAGATGCACCCTACCCTGGAAGGGGTAGTCAATACTGGTCCTCATTCACATGTCAAAAGACCCAGACAAATTCAAAAGCACAAATACCAAAGCATGTACACAAAAGTCCTCAGTAATGACTGCAAGCTTTAATAGTAACAATGTGTGACCAAAAGTATATATCTCACATGGCATGTTAAGATATTTGATGCAAATATTCAAAAACATTTTCAATAACATAAAGTATGCAGCCCTTCCACCCCACTCTCCTCAGAAGAAAGCTGTATATCGAAGAATTTCAGGAGAAATAGCTTGTGTATCGTTCCAGAGAGTCTCTGTCCATATGTCCATACAAGCATAAAAATGCTTGTGCCTGTTTGTTTGTTTTTACACAATTGTTGCACACTATAGTATACTAAATAATGTTTTTCACTTAATATATCCAGGAGATTGTTGTATATTAAGGTAGAAGTAGTTCTATTTTATTCTTTTTAAAAACTGAACAGTATTTCCTTATACAGATATAAAATATTTTTAATCAATCACCTATTGATAAACACTTAGGTTGTTTCCAGTCATTTCTCACTTCACACAACGCTACAGTAAATATCCTCGTATTATGAAACATAAATTCTTAGAAGTAAAATTGCTGTGCTAAAGAGCATATACATTTTAAAGTTTTATATAAGGCTTATTTTTCCCCCCAAATAAGGTGTACACTTTTAAAGTCCCATTAACAATGTTTGAGAGTAGCCATATACTTTTTCAGTCTTAGAGGACAGGGATTCAACTGCTAGTTTCTCTTGTACAGCTCCCAACACAGCATCATAACTATATGAGAATTTACAGCTTTCTGATTAGAATGTGATTGTGATTGACATTTCATAGCATTACCCTGAGGTCTTATCTTTCCAAATAAATATCCAGGATTCAGGTTTGTTTACCCCAGTCCTCTTACTCATATTTGAAGGCCATTCTATTTCTAGAGCAAGACAGGATGGTTTGACAAGTAAATAATTGAGCCTTAAGGGAAATATGAATACACATCCCTTATAATCAGTCATCCAATTTGATCTACCTTTTGTAAATTTCAAAAGCATCATTTCTTTCTTCTTTGAGACCCTAAAGAATAGATTAGGCCCCACTATGATATCTACATTTATTCCCATAAACCATTTCTTACCATCTCAACATAGCTACACCCATCATTACCCTTAACTTTAACCCTTTATTGTTCAGTCCAACTCTCAACAAACTTGGTATTTTCTAAGTTGGACTCAAGAATTTTAAGGCTGAAGGAATTGGGGTGATTTATAGAGAACTCAAAACAAGGGTACACTAGTAAGGTTAGAATAGATATCTGTGTGTTTTGACATAGAAAAACATGTCGATATATTCAAAATTAGAAGCAAACTAACATCCACTTATTTGTGTCAATGATGCCATACCTTCAGTTAAGTGACTTACTCTGATCACCCCACTAATTAAATGTCAGAAGTGGAATTCAACAACAATCCATTATCTTGCACAAGTTACTTAACGTTACCAAGCCTCAGCTTTCTCGTCTATAAAATGGGAATAATAACACCTATTGAACACTTACTATTGAATTCTGTGGTAAGAACTCCACCAATATTAGTTCTCTTTATTCTACCTCTAGGTACCAATCTATCATTCACATCAATAGCTCCTTCTATTGGTCTAAGTTCAAAATGAGAGATCAGGGACTTGATAAACACTTGTTAATTGATAGTTCCAGTCAACTTCCGACTGAGAACTCCTACATTAGGATAGTAATCAAGATGATTAATATTAAGTAACACTTACTGCAGGCCTTGTACTGATGATTATTTTACATGCAATATCTCATTTAACCCCATAACTCTATGATGTACATGTTATTACTTTATTTTCATGGGTAACAAAACTGAGGCTTAAAGTACTTAAATAATTTGCTCAAGCTTATAAAATTGATAAATCAAGGAGCCAGAATTTAAATCTAGGATTTAAATATTTAAAGCTCATTCTTTTATCCAGTACCCAACACTGCATGATGCTTACCCTTATCTTCTACCCAGTTATTTCTAACAATTTTCTTCCTTTATTATCGCAGTTTAATCAAGCCACTTATGAAACAATACAAGGCTAATTTATACTTAGAGTGTTATTAATAGGCACATTTTAAAAAACAATCTTCAGACTACCTAATACCTCATACCTCTTCTAATTTATATGAATATTTAGTGCTGCCATTGGAAAAAATACAATTTTACCAGAGAGCATTTCCCCCAAAAGGGGGAAAAGCAAAACATGTTAGAAACTGTCAAAAAAAAAAAAAAACTGTCAAGGTCAAGTACAATGTATTCTAGAAATAATAAAGCTAAAGGCTAAAAGCCAAGAGTACCAAAAAGACAATCTTGATTCAGAAAGTCAGCAATATAAATAAACATATCTATTTACATATCTCCCTTACAGCCTTTAAAAATCACTATTATTATAGGTGATACAGTTGCTGTTAATATTAGGAGAGTAAAAAACGTTTAGTATTGCTGGAAAGCAAGAAAGAACACCAAAAGCAGATCAGAAATTGAGGAAATCTGGTTAAGATGAAAAAGTTGATGTAATAAAGCGACAGAGAAAGTCTGAAAAAAACCTAGCCTAGAACATGCCCAGCAGAGGACTCGGTGAAGGTAAGAGTGGTTCCCGCTGTGCTCCAAGCTCAGAGTCTGGAGTACAGCAGAGGAAAAGGACTCTGAGAGATGCTTCAGGAATTATATGGGACGTTGATTTAGAGTCTTTGCACAAGCGAATCCCAATACCCTGCTCTGCCAGTGGCCTTTTTCTGGGAAGTAGGCAAGAGGCAGCAGGTATTTAACATTATGCTAAAGCTCAGAGCTTTGAGGGCAAGGAGGTTCCTCTGTAGGCAGTTCAGTAAAATTAAAACTTCTGCTCTGTGAAAGACACTGTAAACCACAGACAAGGAGAAAATCTTTGCAAACCATACATCTGATAAAGGACTTGTATCCAAAATACACAAGAGGTTCTTAGAACTCAACAATAAGAAAACAATCCAATGAAGAAATGGGCAAAAGATATAAACAAATCTCACTGAAGAAGATACACAGATGGCAAGTAAGTATATGAAAAGATGCTCAACATCATCTGTCATCAGGGAATTGCAAACTTAAACAATGAGATACTACTGCACACCTATTAAAATGGCTACTATCCAAAACAACTGACAATACCAAAAGCTGATGAGGACGCAGAACAACATTCATGGCTGTTAGGAATGGAAAATGCAAAATGGCACAACCACTTTGGGAGACAGTTCAGCAGTTTGCTACTAAGTTAAACACAATCTTTCTATAGTCTAGCAATCCCACTCTTAGGTATTTACCCAATTGAGCTGAAAACCTGTGTCCACACAAAAACCTGCCAGTGAATGTTCATAGCAACTTCAATCATAGTTACCAAAACTAGAAGCAACCAAGATGCATTTCAATAGGTGAATCAATACACAAACTGTGGTATATCCATAAAATGGAATATTATGTTTAGTGATTAAGAAGAAATGAGCTATGGAGCCACACACAAAGAAAAGTGAAAAACAAAAACATGGAAGAAGCTTTAACTAAATGTTGTTAAGTAAAAGAATCTAGACTGAAAAGGCTACACAGTGTATGATTCTAAATACAAGGCACTCTGGAAAAGCTACAGGACAGTAGAATAATTAGTGCCTGCCAGGGGTTTGGGGGAAGGGAGGACAGATGACTAGGTATATTCCCAAGAAAACTGAAATATGTGTCCACAAAAACGTGTACACTTATGTTCATAGCACCATTATACATAAGAGCCAAAAAGTAGAAGGAGCCCAGAAGTCCATCAACTGATGCATAGATAAATAAAACATGGTATTATTTATACAGTGAACTATTATTCAGCCCTTAAAAGAGTGAAATACTGATACATGCTATAACATGGTGAATCTTGAAAATATTATCCTAAGAGAAAAAACTAAGACACAAAATATGTAGTATCACATATTTTATGATTCCATTTATATGAAATATCCAGAATAGACAACTCCATTGAAACAAAAAGTAGATCAGTAGTTGCCAGGGGCTGGAGAAGGAGAAATGAAAGGTGACTACTAATAATACAAATTTTAGGGGTGATGAAAATGATCTGGAATTAGATAGTTGTGATGGTTGCCCAACTTTGTGAATATATTAAATACACTGAATTGAACACTTTAAAGAATGAATTCTATGGTATATGAATTACAGCTCAATTTAAAATTTTTTTAATGTTTACTATTTAAAA